CATGACAGACAAAAATGGCGTGCTGCACTTGTGTTCTATTCAATTTGTAGCAGAGAGGAAATGAAGCAAGAAGCCTTGTTTCCAAGGGGGTCTGTTAAGCTGTACCTCCAGAGATTTTTGTCAAGTGTTGGCTTCAAATTATGCTTCCTGAAAGCTAGAAAGTACATCAGTATACATCAGAAATCTGTATAAGTGCCAAACAGCAGTAGCTTCTGTTGCCAACTCTATATTGGCATTTTAATAAAAGTTTGGCCCACTGGCTAAACAGAAACTGAGGGTGCTATTAGCACAAAGTCCTAAACCAGGGATGGAGAACCTCTGGCCCACCGGAAGTTACTGGATTGCAACTCCCATTATCTGTCACCACTGACTATACTGAATGGGACTGATGGGAGTTGGAGTCCAACATCATCTGGAAGGCTACTGGTTTCACATCCCTGTCTTAAACAACTTGGGTTCAACAAGTAGTCCTCTCCACTTCCAATGATCCAGAAATTATAAATGGCAAAAGATGCCCTACTCATTATCTCACCCACATCAGAAGCAAGAAGAATGGTGACACGAGACAGGGCATTCTCAGTCCCTTGTCTATGGAACTCCTACCTAGGTGACATTTGGTCTTCCCCATAGCTGACATCCCCAAGCAAAGGCTTGATACATTCCTGTCTGCCCAGGCATTTGGAACATGGATTTTGTTGGTTTGGTGTTGTGGTTTTATAAACTTTCATCACTGTTGTTTATTGCAGTTTTGTGGCTTTATTGAAGTTGTGTGGTTTGAGGATGGGCAAGACATAAAACTGTCAAATGAATAAAACATAAATAACATGGGCTGTCACCACAAACAGCAACCCTATGCTAAAGTTCCACTGTTCTCCTCCAATATATGTTTTCTAATAAGAAGGCTTATTAGCAACATCATGTTCTGCTGTGTACCATGATTAAACTATGGAACTTGCTCCTACAGAAGGCAGTGATGGCCACCAATTTGGATGGCTTTAAAAGAGGATTGTATAAATTCACAGAGGAAAAGACAGTCAATGGGTACTGGCCATGACAGCCGTGCTCTGAGTTCACAATTGGAGGGTAATTGAGAGTAATGCTTCTGGACACCAGTTGCTAGAAATCATATGGGTGGGGAGAGAGCTCTTATGCTCAGGTCCCACTTGCAGGCTGCCTACAGTTTGGCCACTGTAAGGACAGAATACAGTGGTACCTCGGGTTACATACGCTTCAGGTTACATATGCTTCAGGTTACAGACTCCGCTAACCCAGAAATAGTGCTTCAGGTTAAGAACTTTGCTACAGGATGAGAACAGAAATCGCGCTCCGGCAGCGTAGCAGCAGCAGCAGCAGGTCCCATTAGCTAAAGTGGTGCTTCAGGTTAAGAACAGTTTTAGGTTAAGTACGGACCCTCTGGAACGAATTAAGTACTTAACCTGAGGTACCACTGTACTGAACTAGATGGACCACTGGCTAGATCCAGAATGCTCTTCTTAAGTTCTTATTGAAATACTAACATTAAGGTACTTGGTACCTTGTGTTCTTTATTTTCCACTCCATCCTTAACTCTGGTTTTCTCCTTACATTCAAACTAATGTAGAAAAATTACTGCCTTGGCTAGGGGGGGGAAATGCTAAGGCTTACTAGCAACCAGTATGAAGGCTTCTATCACTTTTTCATTATTTTCTCTGTGACAAGATTTACGTCAAGGCTTATTCATGAAAGCAGAGATTGATCCTGGAGGAAGATTCTGCCTGCAGTTTCTCATGCAGATGAGAGAAAAACCTGACAGACAAGCAACTGGCTGAGTATGTTCACAGGAAAAGTATATGGTGGGGTGGGGAGCTGGGGTGGGCAGGAGGTGAGGAAAGAGAAACGAATCTGAAATATACCAAACTGCAGAGAACTGGTAGTAAATTTCACAAAAGATAGAGAGGTCAATTAACCTAAACCCTAGGAGTACTGCGATATTCCTTAGCAAAGATATATTCAGTTGTAACAAAAGGAAAATGACTCTTGAAAGCACACACCACTTTAAGAGGAAAGAGACAAAATTCTGTTCCTAGGAGGAACTGGCAGCCCAGAAGCTCCCAAGAAAGCACTGAATGCAGTGGTACCTCGGGTTACAGACGCTTCAGGTTACAGATCCTTCAGGTTACAGACTCTGCTAACCCAGAAATAGTACCTGGGTTTAAGAACTTTACCTCAGGATGAGAACAGAAATCACACGGCGGCAGCAGGAGGCCCAATTAGCTAAACTGGTACCTCTGGTTAAGAACAGTTTCAGGTTAAGAACGGACCTCCGGAACGAATTAAGTTCTTAACCCGAGGTACCACTGTATAGTATTCCCAACAATTACAAGTTGTTGCAGTTTCTTATCACAGCTAAAGGCAAACAGCATCTGCTAATTGAATCAGGAATGACAGAGATAATTGACTAAGAGAATGAAAACATGTGGAGAGAGAAAATAAAAGCAGATGCTTGATCCAGCTCTAGTTTAACTTTTTAAAGGAACGTGTCCAGAGGAGGGCAACCAAAATGGTCAAAGGCCTGGAAACGATGCCTTATGAGGAACGGCTAAGGGAGCTGGGCATGTTTAGCCTGGAGAAGAGGAGGTTAAGGGGTGATATGATAGCCATGTTCAAATATATAAAAGGATGTCACATAGAGGAGGGAGAAAGGTTGTTTTCTGCTGCTCCAGAGAAGCGGACACGGAGCAATGGATCCAAACTACAAGAAAGAAGATTCCACCTAAACATTAGGAAGAACTTCCTGACAGTAAGAGCTGTTCGACAGTGGAATTTGCTGCCAAGGAGTGTGGTGGAGTCTCCTTCTTTGGAGGTCTTTAAGCAGAGGCTTGACAACCATATGCCAGGAGTGCTCTGATGGTGTTTCCTGCTTGGCAGAGGGTTGGACTCGATGGCCCTTGTGGTCTCTTCCAACTCTATGATTCTAAGCATGATTATTAATTACCCCAAAATGTGGACGGGGATGTATAGTTAAAACATGTGCTTCACTGCACACCCCATTGAAAGCAATGCAGGAATAGCATTCTAATTTATATTTGCAGTTCCAGCTCCAATTATGTATGCATAGGTCTCCGTAGCTTAGGGTGAGACGGCACTAAAGCAGAATGAAAGCTATTCTGATTCTGATTCTCTCCCCCCGCCCCCCCAAATAATAATCATAATTACAGAAAAAGACTAGAAAAGACCTGGAATTTTATAGAATTTGAGTTATTTTCATCCTGAACTTCATAAAAGCCACTTTCCCCCATGTATTTAACCAGCAGGGTAATCTTTCGCTAAAAAAATAAATAAAAAGAGTGAAGGTGAACAGATTTTCTCAACCTCTGTCCTGATATTTCATGGTTCATGGTATGCAGCCCCTTAATGGGATTCTGAATCTCCATGAGTGCCACTATCTTGCCAGTAGCATTAATGCTTGCATAATAGTATCAGAAGCTGAAGGCAGATAGCTGAGATTCTGCATGGGGGACAGACAATTGCACCAAAACGTTATTCTCATGACAATAGGGGTAAGAAGCAAAATTTAAACAGCTCTAGAAATATGTGTAATTGTTTTAGAAGTCAGTTTTGTGTTATTGCAATGCTTACTCAACTGACTGCATTCTGGATCAACTATTCTACATATCTGCTTTGTTCAGATAATCTGTCCACTTTCTCTTCATGTTTGCTGTAGTGTAACACAATAAATATGAAAAGCTTCATGAATTTCAACACAAGTGTGCCTTTATTTATGGAATTTTATTTTTAAACCAAATCATTATTCATCTTCCATGCAAATGTCTGTATTTGCAACATTTAGTATAGTGAATCTCCACTAGGCACAGAGGTTAGAAAATAATTTCTCTGTCGTAACTACTGTGGTAAATGCTGACTGATGACATTAAATTTCACAGGGATTCACATCTAAATTACTTTTTTTGCCTGAGACTGAAAACTAAATCCCCTGTGTCAGGGGTTGCCAACATGATATCCTTCAGGTGCTATCGGACTCCAATTCCCATCATCTTTGGCTATGCACCATGCCTGCTGGGGCTGACTGAAGTCGGAGTTCGGCAACATCTGGAGGACACCTCTTTACCTACTTCTGCACCTTCTATGGGGATTTTAAGAAAGCATAAGTTTGTTTGGAGTGCTCCCCCTCCAGTGTCACTGAAGAATAGTGCCATCCAGTTGTGCCCATCCACTAGCAGAACAGACTTTTGCTTACACTTTAGGACTTCTCCCTCCTCTCCACCCCAACTTCCATCCCAGATGCCATCACAAAATCTATTGCAGAGGGTTGGGGGAGACTTTTTAAAAATACCAGACCGTGACTCTTGCCACAAACCCACTTTGGTAGATCATCCTCAATGCTAGAAACAAGCAATGGACTTTCAAATCTGCTAACATTTGGCTAATTTGTAAGCATGCTTATAAACAGCACTTCCCTCCTGAAACTGGCTGGCAGTTCTGTATAAAATAAGTTACTGTATAAAGCACTCAGTAGGTCATTAGCTTGCTAGAACTTCAGACTTAATGGATCAGATTTCCTCTTTCATATTACAACAACAATATAACACAACAATATTTGGACAAATTAATTTTAGGTTTTATCTCAGAGTAATATAAAAATCAACATCTTAACTAATTTAATAAGATAACCACCTTTCAATAATGCATAAAGAATGTAATATATATATATATTTAAAGTGACAAATGCAGGGAATAAATATTTTATGTGCTCTAATCTAAATGTCTTTAAAAGAGTATTGATTACTTCCTATATCCATTAGAGGTTATGTTGATCTAAAATAGCTGGAGACAGTCTGCAGGGGGCTCAGGAAGAGCATTTTTATGTTATTTTGGATGCTGTTGGTTCCAATATAATAAAATCTAATTATCACAATTTTCATGACAGAAGCTCACATGTAAAAAAAGAGCCTTGGTTTTATATTTTATTCTTCTTTCTCCTTTGCTCTACATCTTTAACGCCCATCCAGCCACAGCAAATCAAGGGATCCAGTTCATTAAGAGGCATACGCTGCCAGTCACAGAAGAGATACTCATCCCTTTTTGGCCTTCCATGTCCCAGGAGTCTCCACTCTATGGTTCACAAACCACCTGCTCAAGGGAGAGGAGGGTAGTATTATCAACACAAGCTAATACTGTTGCCTTTTTCTGGGACAAGGGGGAAACTAGTACAAGACTTAAGACTACTAGACTTCAGGCAACAGAATACACTAAGGCAGCAAATATAGGCTTCATGGCTTATCACTTGTTGCTCTCCTGCCCAAATATAGACTGAAAAAAACCTAGGGCAGGCAGAACAAGAAAACAATAAGGCAAATACCAATCAAACAGGAACCACCCCTATGCTTCCAAAAGACATCAAAAGTACCAAAAGACACCGAAAGTACCCATGTTTGTGAGAAAATACAAGGCAAGTGTTAGAAAACTATCATCGGGGTGGAAACTCCTGAAACTACAATAAATTACAAGGTAATACATGAATATTCATTAATATAGCATGTAATTCACTGATCATCCTGTAGTATTATTAGTATTAGTGGTAATACTAATAGAGCCAACCCGATCTTCATGACTGGTTCTATAAATCCTTGTGAAACATACCATTCACAGTAACCCAGAAATGAAAAACAATTAAGAGTATGAGCATATTGCCCAGTCCTCCTGAACAGTTTAATCACTCAGCCTCATCTGTGAATGTAAAAGTTTATGCAAATACAAATGGTTAGTTATCATCTGACCTCATAATGACATCAAGTGACTAACAGGTGGCCAGCCCCACCCACCTGTCAAAATTAGCCTATAGGAAGAGTGGGGGAAGCAAAGATCCAGCCCACAACTCCTGCTCTAAAGCTCTGCCTGTGATACTTCTTGCTATATTTTCTGAGGTGATGTGATGATAACAGTACTGTTGTTAAAAAATATATCTGGAAGAACTCTTAGTGGTTTGTTATAAGTGCAACAGACGCATAACTTTAGCAAAAATTGCCCTACAAAGAAAAAAAAACTACCAACAGGAAAAGAAAAGTGTAGCATGAAATCATGGAAGATTTGGTCTCCTAAGCCATCTCAGGTGCCAAGTAAACACTTTCAGAACTTCATTTTAGTCAGCCTCCAAATCATGCTCTAAAGTTTAGATGTAAATTCCCTAGAAATTTTGAAGATAGAGAGATTGCTATTTCTGTCTTGGGAGCTATTTAAATGCATTTTCAGAAATAAAGATTAAGGTTGCTGCTTTTAACTTAATGTATTATTATGGCAGAGTGGAAAAAAGCAATGCAGAAATGAGGCAAAATGTATGTATATGTTAGGTCTATTTATGGCTAGATGTAAATAGGATGGGCCGTGAAGCACCATAAGCAAAAATCAGTAAAACAGTTTAATTATTACACCCCAATCAACTAAGGGAATTCAAATGATGATTCACAGATTGCTTACGCTGGTGTATTTTCACTCACATTTTTGGGACTACACCATACTAAGTACTTTGTGATTCTGCTAAAGCATATAATATAAAAGCAAGTTGTGTGCTTGCAAGCCTAGAAAACAGGATAGTCACCCTATCCTTTTTGTTTGCAATTTCACAAAATAGAAACCAGGTTACAAGCCTTCCTTGATCTTCTGTTCCCCTAGAACAGCATCATTTATCATAACACAATACATGTTCCAAACACATTTACAGAGTGATTGATGACACACACTTCAAAACCCTAAAATCAGGGAAAGGATCACCTGGTTATTATTCTACGAGGCTACACATTTAACAATGATCTTTAAAAATATCACAAAAGGAAGACCTTGGAAAAAGAGTACTCCATTGAATCATTTTTTAAAAAATAAAATAAAAGTGAACTCAGCACTTCAAAGCAAATTATGTGATCTCATGCAGGGGTGCAGCTTTCCTGAATTATCACAAATTATCTATATATGCACAAGGGAAAATAGCTGCTTTTGCTCATAATTTATCTTCTTAAAGAACCCAACCTATGTCAAAGACCACAATCTGTTATTCTGAAAGATTAAATTTCACCAGTGACTTTGAAAGTGTAATTAAAGGTTTTAATATATATGGGGTGCAGTCCAATCAAAATTCAGCACTTTGAAGTCTCATTGATTTCCATGGGAGACTTAAAGAGTTAAACATCTTCCACTTAAATCAGTGGTATGAAATACTTTTGTTTATTTTACTTTGAGTTGCGGCCATAACATTATTCACTCAAAAACAACAAGATGCTTGTCTACTGGAAACTGCAATTATCACATTGCAAGGATCTCAAAAATGCAAAAAATCACTTTGTGGGAAGAGAGTTCAGTTGAGGATAGAATACTGGTGGGGAGAGATATCTTTGTCATTTTCTGCAGATGCATGTACTAGCTAAAAAGTATTGCTCCAAAACCAAATTGCAAGGACTTGTTCCCTTAAGGAACCTCCTAGTTTGCAGTCAAGAGGTAGGGTATGGACTCTTTACATCCTGGGTGCTATCCTAGGTCCTGCAGACCCAACATCAGCCTGGTACTTATTGACGGCTTTTGTTACCTGCTACGTCAGGGATTTGGAATCCATGGCCATCATAACTCCTGTCATCCCTAACTATTGGCCACAGTGGCTGGGGCCCATCAATATTCTTATCTTTGTACTGTGCACTTCCTGTTCTGACACCATTGCTTGGGCCTCACCTCAAGTCCCACCTGCCTCAGCCGGTACCAGCACAGGGCAATGCAATTTTTGTCATCTAAGTAGCACACTTGTCCTGGAAAAAGAGAGGTCAGCCATTCTGACTCACACAGAGCACTTAACAGCCAACATTTAGGAAGCAGCATGATAAAGCCTTCACCGCTGAAGCCTGTTAGAGGATTTCAGAACTGTCATACTAGAAACTGTAATGAGCACTGCATTCCAGAAACAAAACTAGCAAAGAGAAGGCAAGAGAAATGCAACCTACAGAGAAATGTGCCAAAGAAGTCTCTCTTAAAAGCTGATATGAGAATTGCCAGGCAGACAGTAATAATGCTTTCATTCTATTGCATTTGTTGTGCTCATATAGTGCAACTGAGGTTTGGAATGCTGAAGAAGCCAGAAGTTGTTGTTTTTACTGTTGAACAAGATGAAAACAATGTCTTGATAGCTGATAATGAAATACTAACCCACTTATGTGATCCATTTGTTTGTTTCACAAATGTCTCATTATTCGAAGGTGGCTGCTCAATCTAAATTATTTATTTATTGTAGGCGGCAAAATACGTACTCAGAATTGCTTGAGAGGGCAGAACAGAGGATCACTATAACAACGTCCATGAACTGGACTGAAACAGATACTTCTATTCATAAATCTAGGTTCAAAAAAGTGATCCATAGTACACCATTTCATAAGACCTTTATGAATAGTTCAACCTAAATATTCATAACAGTTACAAAAAATAACCTGCTGCTCTTGCTTCAAATACCACTGCATTGTTGAGAGGGATGCTCTGTACACTGCTTCTTGCAGTGCCTTAAATTCTGTAAGGAAAAAGACTTGACATAGGAGGATAGGATCGGTAGGCACTCACAGGCCATGAGGAGGGAGAAGGAGAATTGCAGATGTGAGGAAACGAAAACGGAAGAGTCCTGGGAAAGGAATCCGCCTGCAAAGGACAAAGCTAGAGCTCCTGCAACTCCACCCATCAAATTCATGGGCCATAATCACTAGGGATGTATGGTCCAGATTGTGAGGTGGTTATGATGTCATTAAGATGATCAAAGAGTGGAAGAGAACGAACTGCATGTGCAACACTTAAAAGGACAGGAGTAACCTTAGAAGTGCTGTTTTCCCCATTTCCCATGTAAGATAATTAGAGCATATTATAAGGTACCTTAAGAGAAGTTAAGTTAGAAATGTATGCCCAAATCCCCTGTTTGGCCGTATTAAATCTGGCTCTTTTACTATTTCAAGCACCTATAGGGGTTTGAATGCTGTGACATTCAGACTATAACTTTTGTCCCAACCCAACCCACAAAAAAACCCTTGCTTTGCAGGGTCAATTGTTTTTTCTTCCATTATCACGGTTTTCTTCCTTGTGCAGAAATGTGAAGATTCAGTTCTTACTGGACACTTTCCTTGCACTGAACCCTCCACAGGTTAGAACTGGAAAGTGACCTTTTCAGCTCAAAGAAATTAGGTTCTTTTTTCCTCCAGTCTCCTGAGAAGCCTACCAAGTTATTCAACCTGTCATCAGAATGTTTGAGATGAGAACAGAAGGAAGTCTGAAACTCTAAAACTAAAAGAGAAAATACAGTACGTTGGAAGAGGCCGTATGGGAAAGGTCAGAGGACGGGAGATTCTACATTTGCCAAAGATTCTAGGTAAAAATAGCCTGAAGGTCCTACCTTCTTTAGAGAAAATCACTATGTTTTGGAATCCACTTTTTACGTGACAGAGGTAGAAAAAAGCTTAGGATAGTTTGAATGTTAGTTATTAAATGAGAAAAAACAAAAGAGAGACATTTTACAAAAATTATAAACCGACTGGATATCTGGAACCAGGTATCCAGTTAGCAGAAAGGATTGCACCATTAACATTTATCTCCAAGTGTTGTTATATAAGCACCAATACATAACAGAAGAGTACTGCAGGAAGCAGGGGCTTAGGGAATGAATGTTCTGGGAATGTCTGCATTTGTAGCTGGTTGACAGCCCAAACCCAAACAGTGCTCACTAATGGTTCCTTGTCATCTTGGAAAATCGTGGCAAGTTGTATGTTGCAGGGTTCTGTCCTAGGCCCATTATTGTTCAACATCTTTATAAATAACTTGGATGAAGATACTAAGGAGTAGTCAATGCAATTGAAAACATAATAAGAATTCCAGAAGACCTTAATAAAATGAATTTCAATAGGGACAAATGTAAGGTTCTGCCTTCCTAAGAATCACTAAAACCCCTTCTCCCCGCCCACATGACCTGGGTTGCTGTGCGTAAGAGGAACCTGGTGGACAGGCAGCGGCAAGAACAGGTCCACATGCCTCATCCAAGCAAGTCTCCATTAAACATGCCAGGTTAATTCCTCCATCCACACTTAATGGATGGTAGCGGTCTTGTGAACCATTGACCTGGCATTGCACAACAGCACCTTAAGGTCATGTGGGATACTCAGTGCTTTTTTCTGGGGGATGCATTTTGTGAATCTTTGTATTTTTGTCCATTTACTGTATTTATTTTTCCCAATTTGAACTATAAAATGGTGATTTTCTTGAGTCAAAATGAGAGTACCCCTAAACATTTTTTTAAGAAAAAAAGCACTGGGGACACCCTTGTTGATTCTGGTATCCTTCTGGTCAGGACCCAACATGGAGGCAGGGATAGTCTTCTAACAATGACTAAACCTGCCTCCTCGGTAATGACATGGTCTGGTCCTAGCGTAACTCCTCCTCCTACCCATGATCACTGAGATCGGGTGTCCCAATGCATCCCTTAAGGCAACAACAAAACAAAGCAGTAAACCAATAGAAAATTTAAAGAAACTCAAAACACAATTATCTACTACAGACATGATTAAAATAACCACCACCTCCATCTAAGCATTGAAAACAACCCCAACTAAAACAAAAAAAAAGACAGGTAACATTTGAAACCCCACAGATTAAAAGCTGCTTAATTTTTTAAAAAAACACTAGACACTTGGAGAAGTGAAACAATAGCAGAACACCCCACCCAGCACTGCCCCAAAAGTTCGTTCCAGTGAGTCCGCCGCCCCCCCCAGGCCGGCTGGTGACAGCCTTGCAAAGGGAGCAGGCCCTGCAGTCCTCACCACAGCTGATGGTCCAGCCTTCACTGCAGCAGGAGTCTTTATAGCTGGGAGTGTGAGGGCCTGGCCCCCTCCCCGTAGGCCAGATGGTGAAGGTCTTGCAGAGGGAGCAGGCCCTTCTATGCTCACCGCAGCATTAAACTGTCAAAGGAATTAACTCTTCGAATTCTGTTCAATTTGTAGAAGCATCTAAGCTCAAACCAGGGTCTTTCGTTTCATCTCCTTGTAGGCAATCAGAGGCGGGAAAGGACATGGCATTTTGCTGCACCTGATGAAAGGACAACTGTTGGGGGGGGCAGTATTCACAATACATGGCATTTTCCAATCAGATGTAGGTAGAGCTATAATACAAAGCCATAAAATTACAATCTTAAATGGTCTATTAATTCAGGCAGCTAACTCTTTAGACAGATTTAATAGATGTTATCAGAAGCCGGATCTCGGCAACTGTGGGGCCAACTAATCAGCTGGAAAGAAATGAAAAGAAAGGGAACAAAGAGAATCACATTTGTAGTATGAAGAAGTAGTTGATGTAACTGGAATGGTGGTTCAGGCATTTCTCTTGAACCAAAGGACACCATGCCAGGTAAAGTGGACAAAGGGAATGTTTATGATACGGAGGAGGAGGAGGAGGAGGAGGAGGAGGAGGAGGAGGAAAGGCAAGATTCCAGTGCAGCCAGACTGTCTTGCTATTTGAATTTCTATTGAATAACAGATGTAAATTTGAGGTGTTTAGTGAATAATTTCACTGCGCTGAATGCAAGTAGGGAGGCAGCCTTCTGTTCAGAGCAGCAGCGTTTTTGGAAGCTGGTGCTAGACTGTATAAAGAGCAGCAAATCCAAGTGATTTATAAACATTTGGGGAATAGAGGCAGGCAGGCAGACAGACAGATATCTGGCTCAATATGCCCACTGGATTACAGTTCATAAAAAATGCCATGAGTCCTTTCTACTGCCATCTTTTGAATTGATTGCTCAAATTCTAGAGTAGGTAGAATTTCCAGCCCTCCTTTTCAGGGGGCTATTTCCACATTGCTCACAGAGTTTCTCTCCATCAATGCAGGACATATGGATTTCTAAGAATGTCAAGGTTCTGAATGGGAAATGCAAAAACCCAGAGGAAAGAGACACTGAATAATCCTTAGGGTGGAGGCAAATGAATGGCAGCTCAAAAAAAAAAAATCCTTAAGGCAATATTTTTTATTTTTAAAAAAATTGCTTCCATGGAATAGATAGATAATAGAGCCTCAGGGCTGTCTAAGAAATTGGAACTATGCTTCAGTATAGCCAGTTGGCTGCCATATGTATTAATTGCATACGAGTTGGAAGCGACCACCATCAGCAGCAAAAAAGTCAAATGATGACAGCTGTGCTCCCAATTCCCTTGGCTCCATGAATCCAACAGACATATGAAATTTGCTTTATAGCCTTTGCCTGATGCATGTATAATCATGCTGCTATCCAATCCATATTAACTGCTAAAGATGTTTTGTTGTGGCCAACCAAGATTTCATTTCTGCCACTAAGTGAGCGAAAGCCAAATTACTGTTGGCATGCTCCCATATTCACTAATTACAGTTATGAGTTTTCTGTTACTAGCAACCTACTTTATGTTTTGGAATTACTTAGTCACACTTACATATCAATAGAACAAAGAATTGGATCTTAATCACACATTGTTGTTCTTTCTTGATATAACTGGAAAGGCAGTTTCGTTTGATGTGCTTGGCTGCCGGAACAACACATCCTCCCTATGATATAACAATAACAATAATTTTGTTATTTTCACCCCCACCCATCTGACTGGGTTGCCCCAGCCACTCTGAGCAGCTTCCAAAATTCTCTGGCACCCACTCACTTTGCTATGGCCATTTCCTATATGCAAGTTCTTCCCACATTTTCTACCACTTCTTCCAACATTATATGTTCTAAGCACACTGCAGATAGCAAAATGAGAGACGATACAAGCATTTGAGGACAGGTGCTCATAAAGCTGAAGACCTGTCTTCAAACACTCACAAGGAAGGTTGGTGCTCAGTCCTGCAACCAGTTTCCACCTTCCCACTGTTTGAAGGTGAATATTAGAAAATAAAGTTGTGAAAGGCCATAGTGAAGATGCTCTCAGGTCACAGGAAAAAATGGTCTTTTCCAGCTGAAGAATGGGTGGAACATGTTATGTACTGAAGTTCTCACCCTAGGCCAGCAGGGGAATACTGTAGATAGTTTTCACTCAGGTCCACATATGCAAATAAGGAATTGAAAGTGACTTTCACTGATTGGATAGTTTCAGAAAGTTGTTACTGTTGCGTTGTAGTGGAGCTCTATATAAGCAGGCTGGCTGAACCCTTCAGTTCAGTTCTGGCCTGTGAATAAACAAGAGCTGTCTGAAGAATCGCTGTGTCGTCTGATATGTTCACCCACAACTTAACAGAACACATACAATTTCACTTTCCTCTTTATAGGTCCAGCCTCCATCTTTGGTGGGAAAGACACTCTGCTGGAGGCTGTGAACCCTCAGTGCTGCCTCTGCCTTTCTCTTCATCTATTAGATTGTAAGCTTTCCCTTCAGGTAGTGGAAGAGGGAAGGCATGGTGTTTAAGAGCTCTCTTGGAACACGCACAAATAAAGATACTTGTGCATCCCTAACCAGAATGCAATTGGTTTTGTGGTAATCACCAACAGAGGACCAATATTTCTATTTTAATGAGAAACTGGGAGAATTTACTGAAGATGTTAGATGCAGCACTTTTCTTGTCCAAAGTAAAACCTCCTGCTGCCTGTAACCTGGTGGGCACAGCTCACGATGTGGAAGGGGCTGGTAAGAAGAGGCCATTTCTAAGAAGACTGGCTTTGGGACAGGCAGTTCAAGACAGGACCCTGAAGGCACCAAAGGTTTTACAGCAGGCATGTCCAAAATCCTAATCCGGCTCACCAGACCTAATCCGGCTCACCAGTCAGTTTAATCCAGCCCCTGCAGCAGTTTATTTCCTGGGGTAATAACTTCAACAACTTCAATCCTTAAAAAAAATGTCAACAACTTTGGTCAGCCCTCACAGCCCTTCATTTCAAATCTGGCCCTCTTTGAAAAAAGTTTGGACACCACTGTTTTTCAGAGTCAGCAAGGATGACATATGGAGGACATATGAAGTACAACCCACCCCCCTGAAGAGTGTAACCTTTTGTTTTGTTGTAGAATATGCTGGTTTCTGAATCTTTTCCATCAAATATCCTTTCCCTAAAACTCTTATTTTGTGTTAGTAAACTTTTTGTTTCCTAAGCCAGTGATGGACTCATCTTATTTAGAACACCCCTAAACATAGAAACCATAAATTATGCTACCTTAAGAGGCTTCAAGGGGATGCGTGTGGCACTGTGGTCTAAACCACTGAGCGTAGGGCTTGCCGATTGGAAGGTCAGCGGTTCAAATCCCCATGACAGGGTGAGCTCTCGTTGCTCGGTCCCAGCTCCTGCCAACCTAGCAGTTCAAAAAGTGCAAGTAGATAAATAGGTAAATGGCAGGAAGGTAAATGGCGTTTCCGTGAGCTGCTCTGGTTTCCCAAGAAGCGGCTGGCCACATGACCCGGAAAAACTGCGGACAAACGTTGGCTCCCTCGGCCAGTGAAGCGAGATGAGTGCCGCAACCCCAGAGTCGTTCGCAACTGGACTTAACTGTCAGGGGTCCTTTACCTTTTTAAGAGGCTTCAGGGAGGTGCTAGGAAAGATATTAGGAGGATTGATAAAGGGCAGCTTAAAAAAAAATCCACTTTATCTGGTGGCAGCAGGTTCTTAAGTGAGGAAGGACCAGATTTGTGTTCAAATCTCCCTTCTCCAGGCATCCAAGGACTCAAGGTGGCTGGGGATGAGGCCTATACACACATATTATGCAAAGTTTCACAAGTATGAAAAGTTTCTGAGGCATTCTACAGGGTTCTCAAGCATCCTACAAACTGAATCACTACTGCGTTTAGGAACGATGAATATGTGCAGCAAAGAAGGAGACAATTAAATTTTTGAATAAAATTACCTGGCAAAAATGTTGCATTAGTGAAATGATATTTATAAATAAACATGCCCAAAATACACAGGCGGTTTCAGAGGATACCCTGCAAATGCTAATTTCCAGAGCTTGTTCCAATTTAGAAACCTCAAGTCTGCAATTTTGATTCTAATACTTTCACTTTAAAAACAAGTTGCAGGCAGCAAAACCCATCATATAAAACACAGCCTACTTTCTAGAACTGAATAATCCCCTTTTACCCATTCCATTATATGCTTAGCTAAAAGCTCTAAACATCAAATAAAAATATCATTGGACAAATACTGCCAGAAGAGCTCACAGCAAGCATTAAACCAGTACAAAATAGTCTGGCATCAACTGGAGTAAATAAGGGACAAGCTGACCTAACAATAAAAAAAAGGTTACGTATATTTTAGGTGTATGCATATTAAGACTTCCATATGCCACAGAAAACTCTTCAGCTGCGAGCATTAACGTTTTAAAATAAGCTCAATTGAAATGAAATTCCTCTGGAAAAGAGTACTGTGTGTATCTGTTAACTGAGAAAAGTTGAAAAAACTTGTTCATGAAATATTTATCAAGGAATAACTCTGAGAAAGATTACGCAGGATCAGGAAGTTAGCCTAATACACCATTCCCTGAAGAAAGAGACAGACATTTCAGTTTCATGGGCTGAGCCACTGAGAGCTTCGGCAGCAGACCACCTCATACAATCAAGCACAAGTACTTCTTAAGCCACTTGTCCAGGACAAGGGAAGTTTCCTTCTAGATCAGCAGCTTCCCAGAACCGCTGCTCAAGCATCCGTGGAGTATAGGAGTACTAGAGAAAGTTGAGCTTACAAAATGGCTGGCAAATCCTTTGTGCTGTACTCACCTGCCACACTAAACATGGTTTGGAGTGCTAAGAGCAATTAAGACACAACTGATCTGAGGAAACATCAGAAAGATGCATGCATTTCATTCTAGTCCCACCCCTGATACAGAAGCAGTCATCAAAACTGCTGACCACTACTCCCAGACATGCATTTGAATAGCAGCCCTTAAGCAACGTGTTAAGTCCCTACATGCTTGGCATTTTGGTTTTTGACAGCTTTGTAGGGTGGGACCCTATGAAGCTTGTTTGTGACACTGGAGCTAAAGAAGCCTCTTCAATTTGTGTTTTAGGTACCTCAGAATACAACACTGCCTTCGTTACTGCAAATGGGTGTATATCATGAACAAAGAATGTTTTCTGGGCCTTTGGGTTGCCATGTACTATTTCAGGGTGAAATTCTGGTCCCTCTCACCCAGGGATTTCAGCGTCTGGCAGTGAGGCCATCTACCAGCAAGCAGAATGTGTGTTAAGAAGTGGTGTGCCAGAATCAGAATCGTAACATGCTCAGCATGTGAGGCGGCGAGATGGCTTTAAGAAAGATTGCAGAAAGGTGGCAGGGAACCAGTGAATGGCTATAAAAACCCCAACATTATAAATTTGTCAGCGTTTAAAGATCCAGCATCTGCACATTTCAAGGTACACTTCTCCTGAGGGACACTTCTGACAAATGAAAGAAATACTGGAATCTAAAAGAAATGTTTACATAATTCATAATAAATACATTTCATTATAATATTCTGACAATTTTTTAAAAAGAAAATTGAAATATGCTGTTGACAACATAGTTTTGTAAAATCACTCCTACTGTTCTTATATGAATTGCTTCACCCATAAAATTTTCATGTACCAATTATAATAAAAGACAAAAGATCCATTGTTTTGAACTTCTTGTAACATCAAATTGGAAATCCACTTGGGACAAGAAGTTTCAGTATTTAAAAAAAAAAAATCTGACTAAAAGTATCCTCATTCCAATAAAAAAGAAAAAAAAGTGAGAAAGTGTCTGTTATCCAAGCAAAATCTTGCATCATTTAACACAATATCATCTATTCAGGGGAGCAGTTCAGTAATTATAGACTAAACGGAATTTCCCACATACAGAGACAGACTGCCCTGGTTCAGAATATTATGGTTTATGAAGCTAGGAAAGAGTGTCAGGGCCAAGCCCTCCTCTTCTTGCCCCTCTTCTCCCCTCTCCTCTCGCACCCCAGCTTTGGCACTGTGATCCTACTTGTATTGAGATGAAAGAACCAGGCTGGTTTGTCCTTTGCCCCTTCCCACAAAGGTTTGTAGAGTGGTACAGTAAGTGGCATTCTTATGGAACTGAATCAATCACAAAGTTTGCATTCCAAGCAATTAAAATCCATTAGCAACCTTTACACAATTGTAAATGGGTAATGGCCAATTTTAAATTGATTTTAATCTTGTTTTAAATGTAAAAGACATCATTAGTGGGGTGCATGGGGTGTTAGGGGAGGGGTAGTACCTCTGCTGGGGGATATGTCATGCACCTCCTGGGATAGTTTGTCCACCTTTGGTTCCCACCCTGCACTCAGCTCTCAACTGTGGCTCCTAGAAGCTGTCAACATGCAATAGGGGAAAGATGGGAGCTCACCAACCTGCGAAGGTAGCCCATCTAGGAGAAGGAAAACTCTGATACTAAACCAGAGATAAGGGCCTCTATTTCTCTGTCCAACTGGTGTGTTTAGAAGTCTCAGTTACTGAACATATATACAATTATGACAAAGGGCTGCACCTCAGTACCTCTGAACGGCCCTGAGACCTCCAGGTATAAAGCGGTATATAAATTCAATAAACATATAAATAAATAAAAATTTCTGTAGAGTGTTGAATTCTTGACAAGCAGTTGATACTGATTTTCTACAGATTCATTTTGTTGAGAATGGGGTGTTTTAGTTTAGTTTTAGTTTAGTTTAAAGTTCAATCTTGCTGCTTTTATGGAAAGTTTAAATTATCAGTGGCATTATTTGCATTTCCCCCCAAGAAAACAAAAGACAGTGTTTGCATTTAACTCAGCAGATATGAGCTGATAAATGTATTTCATTATTTCTACAATTAAATCCCTTTTTTAAAAAAGTAGCCAGATAACTATGGGGAGGGGGGAAATCTTCAGATTGTTACTCTCTACTGACACATGAAAGGGAAGTAATAACCTGGCAAGCTCTGCCAAGGGCTAAGAATTTATTTTCTATAGTATATTAGAAACCTTAAGTCAAAACGGTAAGCTTAGGCAAACATATATAGAGAAAGCTTTTTATCATTCTCCGCTCACTCTCTCCCTGCAAGTATATAATCCACATGCAGATCCTGTAACTAGAGAATATAATATAGAATATTTAGGATGCTGATTCATGTGTTTTCACAACAATCAACATCACACTCCTTGAGAATAAAGGGTTAATAATAAATAACTTCAACATACACAGTATACATACTATATGCACCAGCTGACTTTCTTTTTCTTGTCTCCTGATCAGAATCTTATTTACATTTTGAGCTAAAGCAGAACTTGGAGGAAATGATGCCAAATTCATGAGGCAGCTGAGCATGAATGAGCTGCACAAATTCATACACCAAGTAATTATAAATTCCAGCAACATCACTAACAATAAGTAACCGGAACGGCAAACTCACCTCTTGATCATCAATGGGCCAGGCAGAACATGCAGTATGATAAACTCTAAAT